CTTATTCTTATTTTTATATTTTTATGACAGTATGTTGCACTGAAGCACCGCAGCAATTTCCTAATGTTGTAAACCTGCTCAACATCTGGCAATAAACCCTTTCTGATTTCTGATTTCTGATTTCTGAAAAAGGCAGGGATGTGTTACCCACACAGGGGTCAATCAGTCTCTTGTATAGTTTTTCCAGAGACTCTGGAGTCTCTCCAGTTTTTGGGCTGTTTTTGTTAGGACAGTTTGACACACACAAACACAACACACACAGACACTCACACTTTCCGTCCTATTGGAACATTCAGTGCTTTCCTGTATTACACAACATGCCTGAACAGCGCTCTACTGCACTTCCTTTTTCTATCAGCTCATATTTAAGTACTTTCTATTCTATTCTATTCTATTCTATTCTATCTAGTCTTATTTATAACATTGATTAGGTTTATATCACATAATGAATGAATATGCATGAATGAAAAAGTCTGGAGACAAGTTTTGTTTTACCCTTTAATCCTTGAACAACAGTAAGTAAAGACAATTGTCTCCGCTGTGGCAGCTCAGATGTAAATCCTTCCAAATGTCTTCTGTACACCCAGAGTTCAATGTCCGTCTTCTTTTCAGATCTTTTAAATATCTCAAAAAGTGACAGAAAAAGGCAGGAATGTGTTACCCACACACGGGTACACGGTGATGCCAGTAAAGCAGTTTCAGAGTTTCTCCTGGCTGTTGTTTGTTATTACAGTTTGACAAACACAGTCAGTATAAGTTACAAACACAATTAAAAATTACAAAGTCATTGCTCTCATCTAATAAAATGTCCAGCTCAAAAAAACTCTATTATTATTTAGTTTGCTTTTTGTATTAAATTTGATGATGAGATTTACTTTATTTGTTGGCCTTATGAAGTTGCTGCCAAGTTTGAGTTTGTTGGCCATTTGTGTAGGTTTGGATTTGGGGTGAACTTTTCTATAGCAGCTCTGCAGCTGTCTCCAAAACAAAAACGTTTGGATTTTCATTCATAGCTTCAGTTTGAGTCATTTCCTTTCCACATCTGTTGTTGCTCTTGGGTAGTCAAAACAATGAGCAGGCATCTAAAAGTAAAGCATAAAACAAAATCATTGTTTATATGAAATTTTATACAACTGATACATGTGTGTGTGTGTGTGTGTGTGTGTGTGTGTGTGTGTGTGTGTGTGTGTGTGTGTGTGTGTATGATGTGGGGAAGTACCTGGGGTTTTTTTCTTGCACAGGCAAATTCAGGCTCTAGAGTCCCGCTCATGATTCTTTGACGTCACCACCCGATAGAATTCATTGTAAGTTTCACTTGTTATTGGTACAAAATAAATTGAACTTTAACTGTTTTTTGTGTCAGAAAATGTTTCAGGTTGTTTCAGTTCATGCTGAAAATAAAGAAAAACTTTACTAAACTCTAAAAAGCTTTTACAGAAAACAGTTTAGTTGTAACTTTCAGCCTTTCCTGTTGTTTCATCTTATATAAAACTTCTCCCCAACAAACCATCCTACTTTGGCAAAACGTCCTACCATAAGTATGCACATTTCTGCTGTCACAGAGTAATTCCAGCACAAATGTAAGTAGGTATGACGGTTTGGCACTTAACTTTACCCATCAGAGTATGTTTCTAGCTCTTATTAACAAAGGTAGGATGATTTGTCACTTAATTTTGTGTCGTGCGCATGCGCAGAAACAACGGGTAGGATGGATTCCCAGAACACCGTATCCTAAAATTTAAAAAATATATTATTTGAATAGTATTGTGTCTTTGTTTGGTTTAAGAAATTAGAAGATGTCAAGAGATTTATTCTAAAAGACACTTCTTCAGCTGAGAGTCTGAAAGGTAGAAACACACTGTAGTTTTTACTTGCAAGGGCGGTCACAGAGTGCTCACACGAGAGTGGGGGCCCTGTGATGTGCGCGCTCTGTTCTTGCACTTGTCTTTATTTATACACAAGAAAAGTAATACAACAGTGAATACGTCTATTCATAGACAGAGGAATGTTAGTGCGTATGTATGTGTGTATGCAGGTGTGTGTGTGTGTGTGTGTGTGTGTGATTCTGAAGGACGCGGCCCCTCTTCTTTTTTTCTTTTCTTTTTTTTCTTTTTTTTTTGTGTCCTGTTTGGATCTTTAGCCATCAGAATTGTTGTCTTAAGGCCAAGAAAGATGCCAAGCGGATTTATTTTACCAAGTGGATCATCATGGCCTTGCCATATTGGTCCATTTGATTGACCTTTATTATAATTATGAATTTATTTTATTTTCAGTTGCTACAAACGGGACAGACATGACTGGGGGATAGGACAGGGAGAAAGAATGAAAGAAAGAGAGGGAGAGAAAGAAAACCAAAGGGGAGAAGAGACTGTGAGAAGGGGGAAAGAAAGAAAAAAAAACAAACAAACAAAACAAACAAAACACCTGGGTCACCTGTATGGAGAAAAAAACAGAAGAGAAAGCAAACAACAAAGAGCAACATAATAAAAAAAACAGCACCATCACAATAAACTAGCTAGCAGTAGATATCAGTAGATACTAAATAATAAACGATATTGTGCAGCACGCAAGATAGACAGCGCACAATGTGCTTTGAGGCAGCAACCAAGAAAGCTGTAGTCCGTGTCTGTGAACACCCGTGTGTACACCTGTGTGCATACCTGTGTGGATCAGCATGCTTGCATTCCAAAGGTTTCTCCATGTAACGATCTGCTAGGGAGTGTGGGGAGCCACAGTCCCGTCCTTCAGGGTATGAAGCAGGTATGGAGGAGATCCAGGCCCCAGATATCCAGGCCCCTCTTCTTTTTAGGGAGCGCAGATAAAAGTGTCCAGCTCTCCTCTTCCTGGTAGGAGTGAAACTGCATGTTCAGTTATTATCGCTGTTGGAAAGAATTTATAAAACAGAAACAAGTCTTGTAGTGGACAACAGTGTAAGTCATAAAAAGGTCATCATGCAGTATTCTATCACATGTAAACTTATATCATTAACAGCTTATACTGACTACTAAGTACAATTTTCCATTGACAGAAGACAACCAGTCAAAAAGCCACTGCTCTTAGTCCAGCCTCTAAACTGCTGTCATTATAATTTAATTTTATTGGTTGTTTTGAAATGTCATTATATGGAAGCTCCTTTTCCATTAAGTCAACATGTATCCCTCATATACAAAAAATTTCGAGAGAAGGATGTTGGAGCTTCTCTGTATCCAGACAGAAGAATCCATCTGGAGTATCTAAAACACTCTGAAACCTGCACTTTTAACCCTCGCAGATTACTTATAACAAGTATGACTGAAAATAAGGAAAAGAAGGAAATGTTTTTTTTTAAATGTTTTAATTTCCAAATTTATTTTGAACAGGTGCAGTGAAGCAAACAAAAAGTAAAAATTTCCAAGCACAGTAAATCAAATGTTTACACATATTATCTTGTCAATTCAAAGAAAAAAGAAAAAAAAAAAAACCCACAAAACTGCAAACATGCTTCACAACAGACAGCAGTTCTGATTTACACTCTACAGATAAGGTTTGATAACATAATATTTCATTATATGTGAGCTGTGGAAGGGTGGTGCTTTTTAGAGGCAAATCACGACAACAGTTGCTTCAGGACAATGTATATTGTAAGGTGAAGACCTTGCAATAACACAGAGAAAACCCCAACAATCACATGACAACCAATGAGCAAGGTTGTAGGTTGTTTCGTTGTTACTTTTTTAATGTCAACTCTTTCATTTTTTCATTTAGGTCTTCTGTTTTTTGATCTTCTTGCTTTACGTTAATTTTGACTTTTTCTCCGAACCATGTGAGAAATTCACCCCTTTTCTCATTTGAAACATGTATCACACATTCTCCATTGCTGTGTAACATTATGGTGCTTTTGTCTGTGTCATATTTGTAAGTGATTATTGTTTCAGTTTCATCACCAAACTCCTCTTTTATCCAGTTTCTCCATTTTTCTGGATCTTTAGTATAAAACTGGTATTTATCGTCTTTCGATTTTCTTTGATTTACAAACAGCTGTTCGGGTCTGCGTGCTCTTTCTTCCTTTCTGAATTTCTTTTTTTCCTGCTCTCTTGCGCTTTCATTGGGATAGACATATGGTTGAGGACTCATCTAAAAGAAAAGATAAAAATTGCATGAGCACATTTATTTTACGCCATATCCTCAGAAATCTTGTATGCAGTGCTCACAGTTCCACTGGTGTTTCTTGTGTTTTCTGCCATTTCTTTGAATCAGTTAACTTGGTTTGAAGAAGAGTCGACTGATCCCACAGCGGCTTCCTGAGTGCAAAGACAAACCTTGATCATTTGTACCAGATATCATATGTTCTGTTATTCAATCTAAGCTGCACGCAAGTCATAAAAACAAACAAAACAAAACATGAATGAATAACAGTAAATTACCTGAGCTTGCACATCCTGGTGTCTTAAAGTCTAAATAAATCTGTTTCCAATTAAAATTGTGCTGGTTGAAAAGCTAGTATTAATAATTTGTTTTCCAACCCTGTTTACCTTTTCCCTCATAATGATGCCCGTGGTTACACATTTACTGTTTTCAGGTGTTCCCACGGTAAACTTTCAAATTCAGGTTTTTTTTTATCCTCTATTATTTTCAGGTTATGATGTCATTAAAGTGTTTCTGAGTGTAAAATAAACAAACGGAGAGTTAAAGACATATAAAAGGATCTGTTACTTACTCAGTTTACTGCTTCAGGCAGAGTCTGTGATTCTGCTGTTTCTCGAGCGTAGTCCAAGAGAAATGACCTGCTGACGGCTTCTTTTCCCCTTTTATACTTTCTCCCTTTTTTTTTATTTATTAAATTTTTACAAACAGCCAATCATAGAGCAGAATCAGTGTTCACCAGGGACTGCAAATAAATACAAAGAAATGTGTTTCTGTAAAACAAGTTAATCTTTACCTTCATACAGTTTAACCAAACACACACACACACATTAAAGTTTATTGAGTATTTTTTGCCTGCTAGTTGTAGCATGTTTAATACTAGAGGAGGTTGCCATGGTGAAGTGGGAAGAGTTTTCTTCATATTACATTGAGATGTTTGCGCCGTACAGGGTGTAAGATGACCCGAGGGATGGACTGAAGAGCCAAAAAGGAAGTTTAAACCACCACCCTCAACTGTTTGGACCAATCATGTTAGCATTCTGTTTTTATGACACATAGTAAAAGTATTTACTGCCCGGATGTGGTGCTCTTTTCTTCGTTTGGGTCTCCTGAGCAAAGGAAGAGACATGGAGTCGTTTTGAATCAATAAAAGCAACCAGGCAGTGTGAGCACTGCTGCTAGATAGACTTATTCTGCTGTACTTTAGTACTTAAAACCCTTTGTACATCGTGCCTCATCTACCCTGATTCACATAATCACTTTTTTTTCTATGCATAAGCGCTTTCTATCTAAAATTCACACACATTCTCTCTACAATATATCAGAGAGCAACTTGGAGTTTATTGCTTGCCCATGGTGTTCATTAGGTGCACACTCACTGTTAGGTTCTATTCAATGATGTGAATAAGGGTGGCATGTTGGTGCAGTGCTTAGCAGTGTCACTTCACAGGAATGTGGAATTAAGTGAATGTGGCTGTAGGATAAAATGCTTTGGATGGTTACCAGGATGAGAAAAGCTCTACACATGCATTTAACACTTCTAGGGCTGGACTTATGTATTCCATTATTATCAGGATGTCCTAAAAACTCCATAAAAAAATCTTTATTTGATCCAAGGGTTCTGATGAGGACTAAAAAAAGAGCATACTTTGCCCACACTGGCTTCATTGTCCCTGTTAAATACAGAATTGGATTTAAAATCCTTCTTGTCACACACAAGGTCTTGAATAATCAGCCCCATCTTATTTTAAAGACTTCATAGCACTGTATCATCCCACTTCTCTCTCAGACTGTGTGTTTTGTCCCTATAGTATTTAAATGTAAAATGGGAGGCAGAGCAACTCTTGGAGCAGAGCAGCTTCTAGTTTGGAACAGGTGGCCCCAAATCCTCACTCAGGTGGCCCAGGGGCTTCCCATGATGCACTGAGTGTTTCTTCTTCACTCACCTTTACACATTTCTCTTCCACAGCATGTTTTTATCCTGTCTTCCTCCTCTAACCTCAACCAGCAGCAGATGGCTGTCTCTCTCTCTCAGCCTGATTCTACTAGAAGTTTCTTTCTTTTAAAAGGGAGTTTTTCTTTTCTTCGATTCCGCTTCCTGAAGAGCAGTTGTCTAAGCATTTCACTGCATATCGTACGGTGTATGACTGTGTATGTGACAAATAAAATTTGAATTTGAATTTAATTTGATTTTCTATGCCAAACCGTTGCTCATAGCAGAGCATCTGACTGTTGGGCTTTTTCTGTTTTGTCTGTTTAACTGAAGGATTCTGGCAAATATAAAGCAACTTGAGGCAACTGTTATTATGAGTCAACGCTATGTAAATAAAATTGAATTGAACAGAAAAATTCCCGTGGCCTCGACTGCAAGATCAAAATTAATAAAACTTTTTAAATTCTTCAAACAAAACTTGACACTGTAGCTGGATTTCAACAAAACCTTTTTAATTTCATTGGTACTGTTTAAAAAAATCAGCGAGTCTGCTTTGATGCCAACTTAAACTTGGTGTGTGAACCGTGTTTGTGTATTTGTGGAGGGATTCGTGGTTGTGTGTGTTTTTTAGTGTGTACTGTGATGTACACGTGTGTGTGTGTGGGAATGTGAAATTGCTTGATAAGGCAACATGCAGTCATCAGTTTCCATTGGCCTCAAAGTAAGAACACACAAACCAGGTCCAGACACAAACACACACACACACATTTTGCTGGCTGAATCCGTTCTGTGTTAGCACACACACGTCCACTCTCACATACAGTACATGTAGACACACAGTTTTGCAGGGCAAGCAAGCTGTGCAACGTGTCATAACACTGAGTGACAGCAGAAAGAAACGATCTGATTGGTTGAGACAGTTGAGGGGTGGGAGCTTCACAACAGTCAGATTTAGATTGTGTGAAATAAAAACCATCCTAAAAGCTACTACATATCCCAGAATTCAAGCTGTGCACAGAACTACACATAAAGCTGGTCTAATTTTTAAACCCAAACCTTCATTATGCTCTTTTAACGATGAATTAATAATAATAAGAATATTTTCAACTGCAATACAAACAACTGACAAATGTCCCATCTGCTTGTTTCTCTCGATGGTTTGCGAAACAGTGTTACAGAGACTAAAAAGCAGCTACACAATAGCAGAAAGTGATCTTATTTTCTCCTTGAATAGTTATTTTGAACATTTTTCACACTAACCAGTGCAGATTTCTTTATGAGAATTACCCTTGAAGAAGTTACGTGTCAGGCTTTTGTGATGTCTTCCAACTCGGGACTACCTGGAGGAAATTTCTTTTAATTTGGCACAATCATTCACTTTAAGTCAAGCAAGAACTGCAGCTCATTTAAGAGTCAAAGGTAAAATTCACAATCACCATACAAAACTTGTTTCTGGCATTAACTAAATAACTCATTTAATAACTACTAATTAAATAACTTCTATCAAAGTTCTACACAAATGTGAAGCAGAATTAAATAATGAAGGTGTGATACTTGACAAAAGCTCTTTTTTAGGAAACACTATAAGTGAGGGATAAATATAACCTGCAAGGTGACAATTGTAGTTATTTTTTTCTCTGTATGTAGCTTTCTTTCGAAGTTGCTGAATTTTCTACAGATCAATCAATTTTAAATACAATTCTGTGTTTCTGAAACAATGCCAGTCAGCTTCTTTAGTGCTAAAAGTTGTTCACATATGAAGTCATTGTTACAATGGATGTTGCTGAGGTCTGAACTGCTTTGGAAAAAGGACATTCTCGAATTTTAAACTAAAATTATTATTATTACTTTTATTTTTGCGGGGAAACTTCCCTCTCAGTCAAATCTGATTAAACCTAAATCCTTAACTAAGTAGTTCAAAGTAATAAGAGCTTTCTTCTCATTAAGTCTGCTTTCTCACACCTCAAATATTTAAATGTTATAGGAGTTTCTTTTAAAATGTTGCCTTTGCTTTCTCATGCATCACATGAACACATTTCAAGCTGCTGCTCTGACAGATGAATATTGTCTATTGCTTCCACTGTATTAACCCTAAACAAATGTTGAGTAGAAACACACACTAAGCCATTCAAAGCAACACAGAACAGCTGCTACTCTAGATTTAACACGTCACGAGTCATTCTACACATCTGTTCATGCAGTCTACTCTAATTACTTCACATGTAACTTCAACATCATCAAAGCACATTTTCCTGCACAAGCCTCTGGAGATTTGTTCTATACAGCATCAGCTACACATGCACACACATACACGAGCTAACACTGGTACACAGACGCACTGACTGCAGCTCATCCACCCTCTCATGTCTTGCCTCAGTCGCACACTGTGTTATTGTTCACACCCAGAATTGTATTTCCCCCAACTGTGACTCATTCGCCCAAAGTGCGAGTCAGTGCCTTAACGGCATGTACTGTATGTGAGTGTTTCATGTGTGTGCCGAATGTTGGTGTGTTTCTTTTTTGTGTGTTTGCGTGTGAGATTTTACTATGGGTTCATGTGGCAGAGCAACAACACCAGGATCATATCAGGACACCACTAACACACAGATGAGGCGGGGGTACGAAAGCTTCAGGCTGCTTTAAATTAGAGGGGAGGAAAGATGGCGGTGAGGACCACAGGGGGAGGCACCGGGGAGTGACGAGACTGAGCGGGGAGAGAGGGGCGGTTGTGCAGCATCCGGAAGAGTCTGTTTTAGTTGATTTTGGTTCCATAAAGTCACAAAAAAATATTGTTGAACATCTGGAGTCTGGTACAGCGAGGCAAAGGGGGAGGCGAGGGGCAGGTGGAGAGCACGGGAGGGCCTGAAGATGACTAGTATCCCTGGAAGGGAGGAAAGAAGAAAAACATAAAAACACAAATATCAACAGTGGAAGACATTTTTTATATGTATAACAGTAAAAAACATCAAGCATATGTTAAAGATCATAAAGCAGTATTCCTCTTTTTGCTACTTAAAATTTCCATGCAATCATATTTTAGATGATTAGATTTAGAGTTTTGCATTCATAGTTAAACATGAAACCAGCGGCTTCAAGCATTTTTCTGCTTGTGACTTCTTACTTTAAAAGGGCAGCCAGAAATCCTCATCATATCTGTGCAATCGCTGATTTGTTCACAGCAACACCAAACAACTTCCTTTTAAGATGTCCCACCTGGTTTCAGTGTTTTGCTGTCATTATAAACTTGCGTGCTTCTCTTTTTCTGCTAATCCGGTTTGTGTTTATTTAAGCCTTGGATTCTGGAGACTGGTACACAGATTCTTTAGGTTAGATTTTATTATTGTCTAAATTATGGTTTTACTCAATTTGCAAATTACTAAACTGACGTACAGTAGCAGCTTGATCCTTGATAGTATAGGATATGCAACGTGATACTGAAACTTACTCTAGTGCATTTAAAATGAGAATGGATTCCAACTGATCTGCCTATCCATGCATTTTAAGAACTGAAAATGCATTTTAAAATAATTTTGTCTTAAAGCCTGGAGATGTGTACAGTAAAAACCTGTATAAACTAATTAATCTGTAAGTTGTACGGTTTTGTTTTGAAATCTAGAAGGCTGCTTTGTCTAACTTCTATAGTTCATCTCTTCTCAACACTAGCAGCTCCACGTTAGTTACCACTAGAAGAATCATAGACTGTATATAAAAGATCAATGT